ACACACACACACACACACACACACACACGTGTAGTCCTCGAACCTCCTCCTCCTCCTCCTCGATGAAGTGCGCATCGTCGTGCATCCGTGCGCGAGACTCGTCGCTACTGAGGAAAAGCCGGCAGTGAGCGGTTTATCCGCGAATGCGAAGCGGTTGCGCGATTACGCGCGAGATTTCGTCGATGATTTTATTTATCCGCGGGATACGCGATATGTGAAAGAATGTAAGAAAGATACGTTTTGTTAGGGAAGGATCATTGTGGATGGAATAAAAGGATATTGTTTTTCCGCAGGATAGATGGTTTCGTGTATAACAACAAATGTGTATGATTTTTGGGGGAAAAAGAGTATATCCTATTTGCGAGAGAGAGAGAGAGAGAGAGAGAGAGAGAGAGAAAGAGAGAGAAATTATCTATTTTCCGATAAATGGGGGTATATACATTGCTTATTTTTAGCCGGAGTGGATAGAAGTATCGTATGTTTTGGTTCGGTTTGTACGTAATAGAGTGAAAGAGAGAGAGATACGTAATAGAGTCAGAGAGAGAGATAAATGTTTTTTTGTTCTTCCTCTGTGGAGTGGACAGAAGTATGAGGTGAAACGATTATAGAGAGAGAAATGTCTCAAAAAACGATGGAGACTTGCGAGTCGATTGAATTATCACGTAGCAAATATATGAAGAAGAGTAATGAGATGCAGCGATCTGTTGTTACTTTGGAACAACAGCAACGAGCTAATGTTGAAATAGCATTGCGATCGATTGAGTTTGATGATGATGAAGATGATGATAAGGAAGATCATACGGAGAAAAGGAGAATAAAGAGGAAAGTTGTGATAGTCACAATCGATAATAATCATAATAATAATTACGAAAAGGAAGAATCAGTAGAAGAGAAAGAAGAATGAGAAATGCTGTTTCCTTTTACGCCTCTTGATTTTTTACGTGAATTGTGGTCGTCGGATTTCACACCGCTTCGTAATATTTGATTAATGACGGCTGCCCTGTGCAGCAGACAGTCTAAATTTGATGCTGTTCAACATGTTGTAAATGTAGATCAGTGCAGAAACGAAGCGACCGCTCTGTGCGACGTATTGTTCGATCTGCACGAAATATGGCTATGTAGCGGATCTTCGCGTCGCATTCCCTGTACCGTTGATGAGATGGTCAAGGTTATACGTGATAACACACCTCGAAAATTGTATCTGGCCTCTTACATTAATGGGATTCTTTTGGAAGAGAGTTTTTACAATTGAATTCATTATTACTAGGAGTATGTGTTGAAACTCGTAGAAACTGCTGTTGCTAATCAAGTCGCGTCTGTCGATGATAAGGGTGGTAGTGGTGTTAGGACGACGGTGCCGTTGATAATGGATAAGAGGGTTGATGAGGAAGAGCGGGAAGCGACGGAGATCGTTGATGGAGGTGGAGGGTTAGATGCAATGTTTGTCGATTGTCGCGAGATTACGCGAGATGGCGTGCAACAATTTATCACGAAAGTAGAGGATCGATGCGTGCTCACTGTGAAATCACCGGATAAGAGGGGTTCTGAGCTCGTTCTTCTTCAAATTTACGATACTAAAGATATTTTAGGACGGGAGCCCCGCACTTGGTGGAAATATGCAAAAATGAAGACTCAATTTCTAAGTTTGAGCAGCGAACGTAAGAAACTGCTCTTGAGGCGTTTGTTGTATCAAATAGCGGATGAATTGAAAGCGTTGCCCGGGGTCGTTCGAGAGAATCAACAGGTTCAATTTCTCAATAATTGAGAAAAAAGGAGAATAATCTTCATTGCTTATGTGTGTTAAAAGAAATAATAAAGAGGGATAAAAAGAATATATATATATTTATTTGTGTGTGTGCGTGGAAGATGCATTGCCTATTTGATGAAAAAAACTGTTTTTATAATATTCCATAAATCATTGTGCGCCTAGAGCATAAAAAAAATTGATTTTTGGTTAAAAATCTTAAATATTTATTTTCTATTTGTTGAAAATCAACGCGACAAGTTCGCAATCAATTATATTGTTTTGATCGAAAGAGCCACTATTGAGTATTGCTTTAGTGATATTCGCATTATCGGGTATTGTACGTGCGATATCGAGAAATCGTCGTAATTTCGCGTCGACGTTATTAGTAATTAGACATAGTAAGCTGGCGATGCGGTTGATACAATGTTTGAGTTTGTATATATTGATAACGGTGGCTTGTGACATGGACCACAGGCGACGAGCCGTGGACATTTTTAGCATTAGTATTGGTAGATTATTGATTTTTCCGAAGCGTAGTGTTAGATTTTTGATCTGAATATCGTTTGGAAAATCTCCTCCTCCCACAATGTTGCCACTGTGTCGTAGACTCAATATCACGTTTAATTCTTCGAGGAAGTTTTTCCATATGGTTGCTGAGAGCGTGATTTCCTTGCCATAATTGCCATCTATGACAACGCTTACATGGGATGGAAGTGTTGTTGTGATTCCTATTTTGATAAATTTGTAACCCGTTTTCGTCAATAGATATTTCCACGTTTAGATTCGAACCGGAATGTTTGTAATCGTGTTTTCATCGTTTCTAGTGAACAAAATGGTAGTAGTAGTAGTAGTAGTAGTAGTAGTAGTAGTAGTAGTAGTAGTAATGTAACTTGGCAAGTGAGGAAAAGTATTTTATTAGGTGAAGTAAAATGTTCTGAGCGGTTTTTCGCTTTATTTCGACGATGAAATTAACATATTTAGGATTATCCGATTTCGATCAAATATGCGCCGTTTTGTTCAATAACTTTTGTCCATTTTGAAGGCAATTTCATAATTCCGCAATTGAAGAAGTCCTCGTCTTTATTGGTAAAAAACTTGATCAGCTCATTTTCACAAGCCTCTCTTGAGGCCAGTTTTGTACCATGAAAGATGTTTTGTACCAAGAAAATTTTGCAAATGTTTGAAAAGGTGATAATCGCTTGGTGCCAAGTCTGGACTATACGGTGGGTGCAATAAAACCTCCCATCCAAGCTCTCGGAGCTTCTGGCGCGTCGTTAATGATGTGTGCGGCCTGGCGTTGTCTTGATGGAACACAACACTCTTCCTATTGGCCAATTCTGGCCTCTTCTGGTCGCTCGCCTGCTTCAATCTGGTCAGTTGTTGACAATAGAGGTCCGAATTGAATGTTTGGCCCGATGGGAGCAGCTCATAGTGGATGATTCCTTTCCAATCCCACCAAACACACAGCAAAACCTTCTTGGCCGTTAATCCAGGCTTGGCGATCGTTTGGGCCAGCTCACCGCAATTGGACCACGATCTTTTTCGGCTGTTGTTCTCGTATGTGACCCATTTTTCATCACCAGTTACCATCCGCTTCAAAAATGGGTCGATATCATTACGTTTCAGCAAAGAATCGCAGGCATCAATTCGGTCCAAAAGGTTCTTTTGCGTCAATTCGTATGGGACCCATACATTGAGCTTCTTCTTGAGACCAGCCTTAAGCAAATGGTTTCAAACGGTTTTCTGGCTAATCTTCAGTTCCTGGGCAATGGAATAAGTGCTCACATGCCGGTCCGACTCGACGATTTCCATGATTTTATCGACATTTTCGACGATTGGCCTATCAGAGCGTGCCTCATCTTCGACGTCCATATTACCAGAACGGAATCGTTGGAACCACCGCTTTGCTGTTGCATTCGATACTGTATTGGGTCCATAAACAGCATAAATTTTTTTGGCCGCCTGCTCCGCCTTTTCACCTTGGTCGTAGTGGTACTGAAGAATGTATTGAATTTTCTCTTTTTTTACTTCCATTTTGGAACGCTGTAACACACAACTGCCTTGACCAAACACAAAACTGTCACAGAACTTTTTTTGAAGCGTAATGTCACCTTTAAATCGACGTATAGTATGACCCGATGCGATGTATACATCGTGAGATATGGCTTACTAAAGACATCTAGCGGAAAACGCTCAGAACTTTTTACTTCACCTAATAATAACGATAACAATAAAACTCCCTCGTTCCATTTATTGTTATTAATTTTTTGTTTCGTGACTGACCACCGTTGTTATTTATAACGGATGTTGATTCTTCTGTTGAATCGTCGTCATCGTATTATTTTCGTTTTCTCGTGTCGGTCATCTCACCGTTGGACTGGTGGCAGATGGTAGAGGAAGAGAGGTAACGTTTGTTGTCGATTAACGCATACATTATAATGCGCGATCTTTCGTGGTTAAGACGGGAATGAAAGAAGATAAATTATGCGAAGCTATTGGAGAATCGTGATCCTTCTCGTTCGTTATATTCTTCTTTCTCTCTCTCTCTCTCTCTCTCTCTCTCTCTCTCTCTCTCTCTCTCTCTCTCTTACGTTAATGTTTCTCCTCCTCTTCTTCTTCTTTTCTCGTTGCTGCTGCGAAGGAGTCGATTTGGATCAATCGACTGAGTAGGTATCGTAATTGTTTTAACAAACTGTCTCATGGACAAGTAATACCTACGATCTGCACGTCGAACTTACTTAAATAGCTGTGACGAGTTTGATAAAATCGTTAAATTTGCATTAGAAATGATTTTTAACGAAGTATAAATTACAGTCGGTATATCGAAAGGCGGTCTTCATTCCGGTCGGTATTCCTGAAAATATCTCGTCAATTGAACGATGATTCATGATTCGTGTTGAACAATCGTCTATTTCTCCGAATATGTGATCGTTTTATATAACGAAACTCTGTCCTTTGTTACTGTTTATTGTGGTATTGATTTTGGCCGTTGGTGGAAGACCGAAATCGATGAACGAAAGATTCTGGTTTAATTCATAACTAGGAAATGACACAACGTATATGATATTATCTGCAAATAACACCAGGTTGCCCGTAAGTTTCTGATATGCAGCTGTTAAATGTGTGAAATTGTCAGGGAGAAAGTGCATGTAGTCTGATATTGCGATGCGATTTTCATAGGTATTTTCGTTGATATTAATCGGCCATATGTATTTTTCATGTGCAATATACAGTCGATTGTTTATAATTAATATTACATCAGGGTCTCGTAGAGCGCACTGATCGTGATTGATGTTTTTTGATGTGTTGTAGTTACAACGGCTGTGGTGGTGATGGGCGGTATTGTAGTTGTAGAACTATGGTAATTAGTACTACATAAATATCGAATATGAAGAATGTCATCTAAGCTCAATATAATGGGAAAATTGATTTCGCTGGGCGCCTTCGCAAACATAATCGAACCGTTGTATTTACTATGATGCAAACCTAATGTGTGACCGACTTCATGCGTGATTACGTATAATAAGCTGTATGTGCGTGGAGGATTTTTACTAATATAAATATGCCACGATTCTGTTCTATCTACGTGCACCTCCGTGACATAATCCTTATCTCCGGTGGGATAAGATGCGTGAGCGAGTACACCACTGGGACCGTCTAAAGGGCTTGGACACATTTCACCATTTTTCTTGTCAATATTCGTGTGAAGGTCCTCACGAAACGATATTAGTATGTCGGGATTTAGAGATACGCCTTTAAAAGATAGTGATAAATTTGCGGTCCACAGATCGAACGCGGCCTTCGTTACTTTCATAGTTTCTTTATCGGCTAGATGAAAATTCCATGTAAGATGTTTTTTTGACCAAATATTGTTTCTGAATCGATCCGTCTGATCCGAAAGGTCTGAGAGACCGTATCGCGCTTCGCGCATTTTGTTTAATGTGATTTTATTTAGTTTACCTTTCTCAGGTATTTGATAATATTGTTACGCCCGTGTCTTGATGCTTGCGCTTTTAGCGCTCTGAACGTACATCAGATTCTCTTGACAACGAGTCGTCAAAAACAGATGATCAGCGTTGACTTATAAACAACGGGTTTGAGAGATTATCTCTGGGTCGGTCGATTCGCTGTGACGTGCGCGTCGGTCTTTTGCGAAAGAGAGAGAGAGAGAGAGAGAGAGCTTGAGTCTGCGAGTTACGCGTGCTTTCTTGTAAATAGCAAATATATAGTTGAAGTTGTTTCCCACTTAACGTTGTTTTTTGTTATTTCCTAGCGCAAGCGTAACAATATTCTTGAAATAATCCGAGAGCGTGACGTATGTCCTGTTCCATATTTTCCGATGACATTGATAACATGTCAGTTTTAAGATAGCCATATTTTCGTAAATATTTAAGTGCCACTTCTTCATCGTTGAATTCTCCCACGGTTATAAAGATAACGATATACCACACATCGACCGTGAATGCGACCGGATGCATCCTAAGTCGGGAAACGATAAAATAACGATTATATAACGGTAATGGTAATTCTGATCACTGACAATGTATCGTACGGCCTTGTGATTATTATTAGCACAAGCGAAAATGCTACACAATGTGTGAAATGTTACATGATGCGTCATATGTGTGTGTGGTGCGTAGTATAATAAATTACAGCGTAGTCATTTTTCGTATCCAAGAATTATGCGAAATGTCCATTCCTAACCATTTCACATATATTTTATTTCCTCGTTTGCGCAATATCTTTTCTATTAAATAAACATTTGGATTGACGACTTGTTGTAATTCATATTCGTAAAAACCGCCTGTTATCGCATCATCACAATAATCTTTCAGAAGATACGTTACAGGATTGGTCCGTTGTATCTTAGTGATGCGAAAGATTTCGGTGGACCAATTAGGTGTGTATCCTTTTCCAAATCTCGTTTTGAATTTGTTCACGCACCGGATCGTTGAGTTGAAATTTCGCTGGTGGGGCAATTTTTACACGACTGTATACAGTGGATAAGAGTTTTTTAGCTACAACGGGTGTTACATCTATCGGTCGTGTATTAATTGTTCGATGTATGCGTTGATTGTAATCCGATAATAATTGCAGTAATATTTCAATCTATTTATATGAACCGTTAAGTGTAAAGGCTTTCCACGTGTTGTTTTTCAGTGTATGATTGAATCTTTCAACTAACAACGCTTTCATCACCGAATGCGTTGAATAGTGATTTATATCATATTTTTTGACATTCTTTGTACAGCACTGTTGTAAAATTCCTTTCCTTCGTCCGTCTGCAAATCTTTCGGATGTTTATTTCGTAATATCGGAAATAATGCCGTAACCATTTCATTTCCGCTTTAATTCTTCAAAGGTAATGCCCACGCGTATTTATTTAATACTAGTTCAAAAAGCTCTGTTCAAAAAGAATCGCGAATTTTGTGTTTTTTCAAAAGTTATTTATTTATTCATGAATATATATTTTGTCCTTTTCAAAGTAATCCCCATCAGATATTATACACTTGTGCCAAAATTTTTTCCAATCTTCGAAGCACTTCAAAAAATCATTTTTTGTGATCTTGTTCAGCTCCTCCTTTGATGCTGTCTTTATTTCCTCAATCGTAGCGTAGCGTTGTTCTTTCATGTGCCTCTTCAGTTTCGGGAACAAGAAAAAGAAACAGGGAGCCAGGTCTAGGGAATACGGTGGCTGCGGCATCATTAGTGTGTTGTTTTTGGCCAAAAATTCGCGCACAAGCAACGATGTGTGAACATGGGCGTTATCATGGTGCAAAAGCCAAATTTTGTTCTTCCACAAATCCGGGCGTTTCTGACAGATTGCTTCGCGCAAATTGCGCATAACTTGCAGGTAATATTCCTTATTGACCGTTCTACCCTGTGGCAAAAACTCATGATGCACCACGCCCCTGCAATCGAAGAAAACTGTAAGCAAAACCGCGTCCGGCACGCTCTTTGTCGTTCACATCTTCTCGGCCCTCTGAGAACATTTTGTACCACCGATAAACGTTGCTTCGGTTCAAGGTAGCTTGACCATATGTCACAGTCAACATTCGAAATGCGTTCGCGCACTTAATTTTGTTTTTCACACAAAATTTGATACAGATTTTTTGATCCATTTTTTGGAATAGGCAAAAATCGAAGACGAGCCAAAACACGTCCAAACAGCTGTCAAAGATAAACTGAATATTCAAAATGGCCGAACTTGTCGGTATAATTGAGGGACATAAATACCAACATAACGCCACAAAAAAATCAAAAATCGAATATACGTAACCCGCGGAAATTCAAAATTCGCGATACTTTTTGAACAGACCTCATATATCGATTGTTGGCGCGCGCGTATCTGTTCGAAAATTGGCTAAGTCCGCCGTATACCGCGTATACCGCGCTCGACGAATAACACCATGTCGATGTCGGTCAGCAATTCGAGACGCACATTAATGTGTTTCAGCATGGCATCCCATGTGTAGCTCGGTGGAGTGTAATATTGTGCCGGGTCTAGGCCTTAACTATTGATGCATCGTCGCAAAAGTTTTCAAAGATATCAGCCAACAGCAATACCTTCGTTTTTAGATCCACATCGCTGTATGTACGCAGTATTCATTTAGATATAGATCGTGTATGCCGAATCGTCTCCATACAGCTTCGGCGTGTTCGTAGTCGGCCTTGCTAACAGTTTCGTTGCTTAACGTACTGTAGAAGGCGTCGCGTGATGGTAATTCAGTTTCCGATAATCGCACGATACTCAATCAATGTGTTCTATCACGTCCAACGCAATTCGAGTCCGCGTCGGTGCCCTTACGGCAGCGGATCCACCTCGGCTAGCTTAATTTATAATTGTTTTATAGCGAATCGCGTCCCTCGCTACTCTCCGTGGTAGAGCGTCGGGATTCTTTCAGGTTCTTCCTCGAAACACGTGGACACGTGAAGAGAGGAGCCAGAAGAGATAATGACTTAGAGACTGGTTAACAATAAAATAACAACACTTTATTTCTATTGAACCTTAATACAGATGATGACTTAATCCCATAGATTATCGATCATATGGTGTGATACTGAAATAATACTCTTTAGTTAGCCTGTGTCCATTGCGAACAGGCAGCTAAATTCCGTACCCCGGGAGATTCCGTAACGCTATCAAAGAGAGAGAAATCTCGCCTCAAGTGTCCCGCGAGAAGCTTTCTAGGCGGCGGATCTGAGCCGCTCGACGGCAGCTCTAATACGCGCGTCGTGATGACAAGGTTCTCTTGTACGGCGCCGTTACACGAATCTCGCCAGGTTTTTCGTTGGGCGCCAACCGTGTCTTTCCCGACAGTAGTTTCTGCTCTTGGCTGATTCGGTACTCTCGAACGTGCCCGCTCGCCGGAAGCGGTCTCATCGTAATTCTCCATTTATCCTACCGCGTACGCCCCGATATATGCATTCGGGAGCTCTAACCTGTGATGACTGTACGATCGGCGAATTGAAAAGGCGACCGAGTCTCGCACCCGAGTCTCCGGTATCTTTACGCTCGAGACGCTCTCGAGCTCGGCCTTTGTCGCCCTGCGACGCGGCCCCTGCTTTTCATATGTTCGGGCGACCCTACCTCCCGGGCGCCCCGAACCTCCAACGAGTTTACTTCCCGGTACTCTCTTCGTGCTTCGGCAAGCGACGGCCATCGGGGTTAATTCGCAAATCTACTTCTTCTATCCGCGGCTGTGCATGGTTCTCGCTCATCTACTCGATACCGGCAGCTTGTCTTTCCTCCTCTAGGTCACTTCCCTTAGACATGGCAGCTCTTCCCATTCGCTCGCACACTCGCTCGCTCGCTAGGATGTCCAATTAGCTCGCCGTCGGGCCGCAGAGTGACGAGCAGGACTCGTCACTTAACGCAAGAGGCAGCCGCCGCAAGGATCTATCACGCCGTTCGATGCGGCCTCCGATTGGTCCTGTCGGCTAGATCACGCGTCTCAAGGGTGCTCGCGGGACCTCGCGCCTGTTATCGTTCTCTCGACTCTTGTTTATGCTTGTTCTTTCCCCGGGACGGCATTCGGCAACTATTGGGTTCGCAGTAATTCACAGAGCCCCCGAGCGCGCTTTCCGCGGGATCTTTCCCTGCCTGCTCTGCGACCGGGTCGCGGGACTTTGCGCCTTTCTTAACGCAAGGTGGCCATCCCGCTCTCTGTCGCCGAACATCCGTCCGGGCGAAGTTCTCGCCGTCCTTCCACGTCTCGCTCTAGCCGTTCTTTCCGGGCCCTTGCTCTCGTTCTTCCTTGATTCCTGCCGGTAGCTCCGTTTTTTGTTTGGCTTGGGGTGTTCTTACTCTCACAAAAAAAATAATAGTATCCGCGGGTTTATGTCATGTACGCAAACGGTTCACAGGACCAAAAATCGGTAACTTGGTTGCTTTCTCTTACGAGAATGCGCGAGCCTCTGGTTCCTCCTCTGCCAGGCTAAAGCCTGAGTGACAAACGAAAATTTTCCTTGTCATAGTTTGTACGGAAATATACTCTTGCGTGTGAGTAGTGTGAAATCATTCGCGGTTAGATGTGAGAATGTCGATCGTGTGTCGTGCAGTTTATTTGTGTTGAGAAACGATGCTAATTTGTCTAGGCTCGTACTGAGAAATCGGAACGAATCTATAAAGCGCAGTTTCACCCGGTGTCTCCACTTGTCGCGTGTGCATTTAATGTTTTTCGTGAAGGACAATTACTTTTCTTTGATGATCGGCAACAAATCGACGCTACCCTCGAATGAGTTGGCGATTCGCTCGATTATGAAGTGAGCGTCGTAACCCGATAAATTGTGAAAGAACACGGGGATGATGTGCGAATTGCGATAATTGAGATTGCGGCGTGAGTGCGCGGAGCCTCGGTAATGGCCTGTAAGTCGACAATGATCGCGCACTCGCGTATCGTCGCCCGATTTGAAAGATCCTTTGCATAT